GGGGGTGTATGGGGGTGAAGAGGGCCGCTATGGGGGTGTTGGTGGTGTTATTAGGGGTTCTGGACCCAAAAAAAGAAAACAATTTTTATTTTTTTTGGGGGGGGTGCAGACGACCCCCGACCGGTAGGTGCCGACCAGCCGATCGGTCGGCGGGTTGGCAGCCGACCAGTCAAGGGCCACCGACCGTCGCGGGGTGCAACACGTTGATGAAGTTGATTGCAAGCTGCCCGCATCCCCGTGAGCCACATACATACCCATGCCAGTGTAAGAAATACAAAACAAAGAAGAAAGGCATGGCTACCAAGGAGCTGAACACAGGACACAGATGGTCCAGACTCTATCCGAACGTTTGGATCTGCTAAGGACCAGGGCTAATACCTGGGGCAGAGCAGACCCCGGGGACAGGACTATTTTTTCCGGATTTTTGAAGTTTTCTGAAAAACAAAACAGAAAATAATAAAATAATTGGATCCTGAAAATCTGGACGTGCCTGGCCGTCGGGATTCCAGACCACAGCTTACAGGGTCTGGAAAATGTGTTGACAGTGGCCATGAAAACAAAAGAATAAAAGAAGTGTAGTGTGGTGACCCGACCAAACACGGACTGAGACACACCGTTGATTTCTGAGTTTTGTTCATGGACTGAATGCCTTGCTGAGTTTCCCGCTTGCTACTAAGTTCTGCATGTCTATGTGTGTGCACGCTTGCTGGTCTGCATGACTGTCTGAGTGCTGGTTCGCTCGAGTGTGTGTGTGACCCGCAAGGGCACTTGTTTGTTCGTTGGGCCCTCAGGGCCGGTACTTACCTGTGGCCGTGACATTGAGGTCTGCAGCGGGGAAACACTCAAGTGGCGGGGGAAGAGGTCCGCAACACTTGAAGCAGCGGGGAAACACTCAAGTAGCAGATAGGCCGGTACCACACCCTGAAGAGGTAGATGTGCCGGGTACTGGAGAAGAAGAAGACAAAAGTGACATTTTGAGAGGCCCAGTAGTTGAAGGCTAGGTCTAGGCGGGTACCAGTCCAACCAGTCTGAGTCTAGGGCCTGTGCNGCAGAAGAAGACAAAAGTGACATTTTGAGAGGCCCAGTAGTTGAAGGCTAGGTCTAGGCGGGTACCAGTCCAACCAGTCTGAGTCTAGGGCCTGTACGGGGAAAATCAGAGTCTGCAATGATGTTTCCCTCCGAAAGGGAGGAGGTACCGGTTGCTTGGAAGGCTGAGCGGCCCGGAAGTCACCGCCCAAGAGGCAAGCAGGCCACTATATCTCCAGGCCGGAAGAGCCCAGCCTCATTTTCAGTGTGCAAGTTTGGCGACACACTGGTTGGAGCGCTGGCTGGAGCAGCGCTAGCAAGCACTGCTGGGGAAGGAGCAAGGACACGGAGGAGGAAGAAGAGCAGGAGGAAGGGGGAGCGGAGCGCCAGAGGTACTTACCTCGCTATGGTGGCAGCCATCTTCATCACCTTGGTGGGCGACGCAGCAGGAAGACCCCAGCTGGGGTAGAGCTACACCAAGAAGCTTAGTGGCAGAGTCAGGCATGGCGGACTGAGCTAGAGCAGCCATAGCTGCTTTGGGTTGTCCTTTGGGCATCAGGGCAAGGCCCAGTAGTCCACCATAGCCTCGGCCTATGAGAGTGAAGAATGAGGCAGGCGGCCATGGCTATGGTGGACCTCAAGTGATACCTGCAGTAGAAGAGGGATTCGGACACTGATTCTGGTTCAGCCATTCAACATTGTACTATTATTTCTTGTGTGAATAAGAGAGGAGTAAAGGAGGAGGAGAGTGTTTGGCGAAGAAGAAGAGCTTTATCATTTGTCTACGCTGGTGTACATCATCTTCTTCTTCTTTCTTTCTACTTCTTCTTCTTCTTACCCTCTCTCTCCTCTCAATTTCATTCATTTCTTTCTGCAATTGGACAGCATTATACTATCTGATGAATGTGTATCTCGAAATTGCCAGGATCATAACAAGAGGGAAAAAAGAGACCTCTGCTAATACCCGTAGAGGCGGCCCATGACTAAATTGGCTCTCGCAGTTAAACAGAGGGACACAGCCCATGCACTCACTATTGTTGCGCGAAAAGGTGACGGAGAATATGCTCAAACACTTCGAAAATTTGATAATGCTTCGCTTAATTCAACAACAAAGCAGCACCCAGCTCGTGCCATAGATAACCTGAGAATTAACCAGGGTATGAATTCAATCACGTACAGTAACGTCAGGGTTTGTGCTGAAATCCCTGATTGCTTTTTCTCTGTTGTGCTGTGACAATGAACCATCCAGCCGAACGAAGGAGAATTTTTTCCTGCAGAGGCAAACATAACCAAACGACACAAAACACAATCAGCGCCCCGTTTCTTAACATCGTGAACCAAAAATTGTGCGACATTTCTTAACCGGATGACGGAAGCGCTCGGATACACAATTCAGGGATCAGATGCTGCCTTGTGGGCTTGGCTCCTATCCATTCTGGTGAGCATCAGGCTGGTTCCTTTCCAACCACAAGGTGGAAACTTTACCAGAAAATAGCAAAATACCCACCCAACGCTTCCCCTGGTCCTGGCCAGGGGACCCTTTGACAGCAATGATTGCTCTCTAAGAGAAGGATTAACCGTCAGATAAGCCCGCACCTTTAGACAGAGCCCTTCCTCCCTAACACTCAAGAAGTTCAAGATCAACTCAGCAGGAATCGAACCTACGACCTGCCACGAAAGAGGTGGATCACTTAAGCATCAGACACTGCCATCAATAGTAAGTTGCAACATTATTTATAACTTGGTCGCAAAAAGCTAAACTGATAACGAGTAGTAAGTACAGAACATTAGTTCTGAAGTTACACAATAAAAAGCCTGAGTACCTACACATAGTCTTTCTACCAAGGAACGAGAGGATTTATAAGCATTACCTTTTAAGCGGGATTTCCAGCAGATCAAGAAATGCTGTCCACTGACTAAATACAATGCTCTTTGCTCCAGTTTGCCTGAGGGGATCCAGCTCATTGAAGAGAGCAGTAACCTTCGCTGATTCCTGCCAAGACTTCTCAACATCGATCCGAAACCTGCTTTCTGTAGGTGCCGTGATCAAGTCCTGTTTAGTCATCGGCTGCCTGGACACAAGAATGCAGCAGACACAAGCCTTCTGAGTCGCACCCTGCCTTTTCTGTTCTCTTCCACCTGGTAATTATTAAGGATCTGCCGAGGTTTCTAGCTCTTCACCTGCACACCCTGGTTTTTATTCTGTGCCAATTGAGTTCCATTCCACATATGCACCAGTCCAGGCATGAAGTGCTATGAACGCAAAACAAACTTGCTTACCATTCATTGTCAGTGGACTCACGAGGAAGAGTTAGGAACCACCAACTGAGATCTGCAGTGCTCCCACTCTTGAAATTTTAGTCCTGCAGATGACACGCTTCCTGCCAAAGTCAAAACTCAAGCTCTAGCTCTGACAGTGCAGTTGAGTGAGCCCCCAAAGTAGCCGTTGCTCTTCTCTCTCTATCTCTGACAGTGGATGGCTACTTCAGGGTCTCACTCTGCTGCACAGCTTTCACCCTTTCTTTTTGTTGTTTTTCATTTGGACACAGCCCTGATGAGGACATTGGAAGTACCCGTTTCGGCAACCACAACACACCCTCGTCATGACTGTATCAGAACTCAAAGACACAGCCCTGATGAGGACATTGGAAGTATCCGTTTCGGCAACCACAACACACCCTCGTCATGACTGTATCGGAACATAAAGATAGCTTAGCACATTAGGGGACACACACACACACACACACACACACACACACACACACACACACACAGAGTGGTCACAATTTTTTTGTTTGGGGGCCGCTGTCATGCGCAGCCCCAATTTTTTTTCCTTCTTCACTACTTGATTTCTTAGAGGGAACAAACCCTCGTCATGACTGTATGGGAACTCAAAGATAGCTTAACACATTACGGGACACACACACACACACACACACACACACACACACACACACACACACAGTGGTTACAATTTTTTTTGTTTGGGGGCCGCTGTCATGCGCAGCCCCATACTTTTTTCCTTCTTCACTACTTGGTTTCTTAGAGGGGAGTGCTGGGTTTTGTGATCACACCCCGCCCCTCCCAAAAGTTTTTACTAACCCCAGTTTTAGGGGGTGTGGCGCATCACATGCGTGCGCTGCGCACCGCACGTGTGTCACGCAGCGCATCGAGATGCACCGCACATATGCTTTTCGGACATCCAAGGGAGCCTCCAGCAGGGTCGCACAAGGCATGACAGAGACGGAGTGGATGGAGAAGAGCGAGAGAGCGCATAGCTAAGTATGCAGTAGCAGGACGATAATAGTAGGTGAAAGGGGGAGGAAGGAGGGAACTGGCAAGATGACTTACCTTCCGCTATGCTGGACCCTGATCTTCACTTCCTAGGTTGGTGCTGCATCACGAAGAGACCCCTGGTGGGGTACTGGCTGGACTTGGACTTCATCCGTCAGTCAGGCATAGCGGTAGAAGGCAAGGGAGACATAGTAGTAGTGTCTGACATAGTAGCTGTGGCTTGTCCTCTGAACCCATGCATACCAATCATAAACCGCCACAGTCACTACGGTCTTCCCCCAAACATAACGCGTTACATTCAGGTTTTCAAAAAAAGTCGATCACCTGAATAGAACGCATATGCGTTGTATTTATTAGAATATAAGGGCTGCTCAAATAGAATGCATATGTGTAGAAAGCAAAATATGCGCTGTATTTGTTTACAATACACATGCATCATGTTTAAGGGAAGACGGTAGTGTGGCATTCTCAGCCACACGGCCCCAGTTAGGGCCCGGTTCCAAATAGGTAGGGTAGGCGTAAGGGACGACGGTTCAGCTGAGGCCCAGATAGGCCAGGACCACGGCAGTTCAGGCAGGTCAGGGGTAGAGGCCCAGGCCAACGGCCACAAGGCCGGTACCGGTCCAGCATAGGACCTACCGGCGGCGCTGCAGAGGCTGCTGCATTTAGGCGCCAAGTTCAAGTTTTAAAACTGGACCGTTGATCAGATCAACGGTCCAGGCCGGTAGGTACCAGCAGGTAGGAGGCCGGCCCAGCACTACAAAAGGCTGGGTACCAGCCTCAGTAGGGAGGTTGGATGGACCGAAGGTTAGTCTTCAGGATTAGCGCAGCATTCAGCGTTAGTACGATTAGCGCAGCGCTGCAGCATAGCGAGGAGCAGCGAGGAGAGCAGGAGCTCAGCGGCGAGGGGATTAGCGCAGCACCGGGCGGAGCGCCATTTACCGGCCCAGCCCCCTTGCAGCGCCATAGCTACCGTCCCAGGTACCAGGGAGGAAGGCTTCGCCTTCTCTCCCTCATCTTCCTCCACCGCTCCCTCTCTCTCTCTCTCTCTCTCTCTCTCTCTCTCTCTCTCTCTCTCTCTCTCTCTCTCTCTCTCTCTCTCTCCTCCTACCTTCTCAGTCTAAGTCTACTYCTGGGTTCTCCTACGGGACTACTATGAGTATGAAAGATGGTTACGAAGTCTGATGACATTGGATACAGCGACATTGGGACTATAGGTTGACGACTACTTGTGGGATCTGATTTCATCTGCCTCCGGAGATGTACTTGACATTGTGAGATCGATATCTGAGACATTGTGGGACACTGTATTCACGACATTTCGGACTTTCGCCATCTCTGACATTTCAAGATACTATCTTTGGAAACATTGAGTTGACGTCATCTTCCCTCTCCTCCTCCCTTCGTCTCTCTCCTCCCTCCATTCGTCCGTGGATGATCTCAGACCCTGGCCTTTCGTCTACTTCCAAGGCCAGGGCTTTCACACCCCTGATGAATGATTGAGAGTGTTCGATTGCAGTCCGAGTCACGTCAGAGTCAGTCCATGTATCTCAAGTCTTCCGCTGTATTTGTATTTACTCTGTATTATCTGGCCGGTTCTGGGAATCTCCGACATACTTATGACTGCGTTTCACGAGTATGCAACAGTAGTGTTGCCAGCTGGAGTGGTCAAAGAGACAGACGAGAGGATAGCTAAAGGAGAGATCATTCTAAGTGGCAGCAAGAGGACCTTCCGGGCACTAATTCGTGTTCATTTGTTCATTCATTGTTATCTATAACGTCTTTCTTCAAGTGTAAGACAGCTCTCACGTGACACCATCTGGCCAGACACCACAAGAACGTTTGGGCCCAGGCTGGGCCCAGAGAACAGTCTGGTCGCCCACTTCGTCTCTTTTTTAGACCCGTTCATTTTCTTTCTGCGAGGCTATGCCCGCTTAGCCCCTACGGGCCTTATTTGCAGCAAGGTCGGCCGCCCTAAGTGAAGGCAGGCACGACAGGCCCTCAGGGCCTCATTTTCAGGGTACCCCCGCAAATGGGGAAATTCAGGCAGTTGCACAGCATCAGTTGGTTGAATGAACTCAGGCCCTGGGCCGCCCGTGTGAATGAATGTAAAGCAGGCCCTGGGCTGGGCACGGGTACCGGGCCAAGCACAGGCCGAAAGCAGTTAGGCACATGCAACTACTTCAGGCCCAATGCCTGCATTCCTCGTGACTGGGCCTCAGGCTACCGGGGCCTACTGGAAGCTTCTTGGACTGGACGCAGGCAAGTCACTGGGATAAAGGAAAGGGCCTGCCTCCTCATTTGACATTCGGGTGCTGGCTGCATGCRGCGACAGCGCTGCTGCGCTATTTGCTGGCTGGCGCCCTCGCACTCACGGGCGAGCGTGGAAGAAGCAGGCAGCCATAGCCACGCTGCCTGCTGTAAGCTGGGTTGGGCGCAGGTTGGTCCTTGGATGCTAGAGGCATCTGTGCGCTGAGGATCGGGGTTGAGAGCGAAGCGGGAGTCATACCTGGTGCTTGAGGCGAGCGGCATTGGCCGCATATGCTTGTACTTCGGTGAAGCTGTTGACGTCAACTTCGGCATTGTAGTAGTAGGCTAGATAGGATCTGCCATCTTGTAGTCTGGGCGCCGAGCGCCAATAGGATACCAACTCTCGTTCTYTGTTGATGATGATGAGAGACAACTTCAGCATTGTCAATTATGAACTATTGCTGTGTTCTTATTTGGTATAACTCGTGATGCCATTCTGCTTATGGTTCGAGGTCATGGCTATTTGGTCACTCATGTATGGTGCTGTTTGAGTTCTGGAATTCGCTATTGCTCATCTTCCTTGCATTTCTTCCTCGTGCGTAGCTTTCACTGTAGGTTTGGCTTTTGCCCTTCAACGCTCTTGTTTTGTTTAGGAAAGCAGTATTCGAATTGAGGGACCGCAGTTCTTCAGTACCCACATGGCCCGCATGAATGAACAGTAAACATGTACCTGTTAGTAAACAGGTCACGAGTTGAAGCGACGGAGTGAGACGAACACAACTCTCTCCCTGTCTCCCACATTCCTTGCTACCCTTCGAAGGGCCCCAAGCTGTATTCCAATTGAGGGACCAGAGCTATTCAAACATAAGTACAGACCCAACTCCTCTGGCTGATTGGTAAACGCAGCAACTTTGATAAACTAACCTGAGTTTAAATCCTGATAGAATAATGCTGAACTAACTGTACGCACTCAGATCCATGTTCTCATAAAAAAATAGCTCTATTTAGAGAATTTTAGACTGTTTGGCAAATCAGACAAACCCTACAGAGTTCATAATCCTGCACAGAAATCACACTGGTTGCCTGAACACATAAGAAACATACCTGCAGACTGGACATGAACCTCCACCTGTGGTTCTCCATGATGCAAGGAGACACTCCCGGCATAGACAGTGTGCACAGGGTGTTAACACAGCATCCTCCGCTGCTTCCAAGCAAATTGGGCACTCCACCTTTTCACCCTTCTTGAGATCATTCACAACATTTTCAACATACCCCTTCGTTAGCACGGGCAAACTCCTTCCTTCAGGTCCCAGGCCATCGTCACCCTGGCTTCCACCCTTCCTTGCCACTGTGCCTCGAGACAGAAACCTCGCGGCCAATTTATCAAGGTCAGAATACTCAGAAGTATCACCTCGGCTGCACATACCACAGGCACCCCGACAACCAGACCAAGAAAATAAGAAGGCAACCCAAAAACAAGCATGCTATATCAACAGGATGACCAAAATGAGCAAAAAACAGTTATTCACGACTAGATGGCCTGAATCCCACAGGGAAGCACGTCCAGCTCATTGAATCATGTCATTGGCAAGCTGAAATTGCGAACTGTTGGTCTGATACGTGAATCACAGATTCGAAATCCTCAGGCATAGCCATCACTATACTGCACTTGTATGTCAGGCACCACTTGCTTAGCATGTACAGGAACCAAGTTGAGACCCAGAATCAAGATGAGCAACCAGGAACCACAATTAGGACCCCACCCGAGGACCCAGGAACCAAGTTTCATTTTGTGGCCCACAAGCGAATTTACTTGGTTGTAGTTCGCTTGCAGTTTGCTTGCAGTTTGCTTGCAGTTGGCTTGCAGTTCGCTTGCAGTTCATTCGTTTGAAGTTTTTTTGGCAGTTTTTTTGCAGTCTGTTTGCCACTCGTTTGCGGTTCGCGTACAGTCTGTATGTAGTTTGTTCGTCAAACATAAGGGAACATACCTCAGCACCAAGAAGGGGTGGTCACAGCACTGACGCAGTCTCAACAGCAGTTCCAGGATGGAAGCATAGTTATGCAGCACCCTCCCTTGCTGCACAAAAGTGTCAAACTTCACCTGCAGTCATCATGTTGAAAATTTTCAACCACAACATCGGCACATTCAATAACGTCAGCCAAACTCGGAAGTTCCTCAAAAGTAAAAAAAACTCTCTTCAAAACTTTGCCTGCTCCTCTAAACCCTCACTGCAGTGGACAACCTAGAATTTGAATCCTTAGAATGGGACGAGATAACACGAGTTCACACACATAGTGGAATACTCAGCAAAGCCAGGACAACTCGCGCAAGTTGTGAAGAGACACCCCCCCCTCCTCCCCCCTAGGAGATGACTTGTGGTTAGGGGTAAACAAGATTAGCCAGCGCAGCTCCGCCCGCGGCCAAAAGGGTCAGGCGAATGTAGCAGGCCTACACAGCGTCCAAATGCACGCACACTGGTAGGCAGAGAAGCGAGTCCCACAACGACCTCAATGCAAGACGGCCAGGATAAGAAGGGCCAATGCAAGCCCTTCCCAATATCAACATCATGACTCCAGCCTCAGAAAACACCGGACAACACAAAGCCGTTTATACTAACTTTATAGGAATTATCCTCCCTCAAGTCCTATTTTCACCTGCATATGAAACGTCACACAATGCTTCCAAAGAAAAACGGCCCATAGCACGATCTTCCTATAACCGGATGCAGCGTCGCATAGAAGACCAATTGGCTCAAAAGCCTATAACTCCTGGCTTTAAACAAAGATTCATCTGGACAATAAAGGCTAACAACTCAGATCTACTGGGCGAGATCAGGCCGAGAACTACAAAATAAGTTCTGTGTCACTGCACCCACCCCAAACGTCAAATGACCAAATTTTTCTTCTCTTTTTTTTGTTTTTTTCCCCTCGGAAATTTGTTTAGCCACGATTTGATTCCGTTTGTACTCATTCCTTTACTACAGTCACTGCACGCACCGCAAACGTCAGAAGACCAATTTTTTCTTTTCTTTCTTTTTTTTTCGTTTTTTCCGTGCGATATTTGTTCAGCCACCATCTGCTTTTCTTACAGCACCGCAAAGTTCGGCCGCCTGGAACGCACACCAGAGAAAACAACCCAAGCAACAAAAAAGCAGCTCCCTCCGGGTGGGCCAGGGAAAGACCCAAATACATTTAACCCAACCAAGTTTATCTCACGTCGGGACAACCAGACCGAAGACGACAGTTTCCGCGGCAGGCAGACAGGCCGCGGAAACTGCCGGGAATCGGACCCCAGGCAAAACAACCCAAGCAAGAAAAAGGACAGCAACATGGCGGCGGGCGAAAAGAAGAGATACACCCCAACGGAACATCCCCGAATGTAACAGGCCCACACAGCGTCCAAATGCACTCACACTGGTAGGCAGAGAAGCGAGTCCCACAATGACCTCAATGCAAGACGGGCAGGATAAGGGCCAATGCAAGCCCTTCCCAATATCAACATCATGACTCCGGCCTCAGAAAACACCGGACAACACAAAGCCTGACACCGTGACAATTCAGCGGCAAAGAAGAAAACCGAGTAAAAAACGACTGCATCACACCGCACTAAACAACGAAAGTGCACACCTTCGGCAGGAACGCGAGCAGGCAAAGCATCCCGAGCACCCCCCCTACAAGCAATTTTTTCCCCAAACTCCCGACGCCCAACCCGGAGCAGACAGCACACCAGGACGAAGAAAAAGTGGCCCACCAGAAAACACGTCAGATGCACCCGCACCGAAAACCAGACTAAATCCAGGCAAAACGAAAGCAACGATCGGGCCGGGCATCACATTTCTTACGCGACAGTCACTGCAGGCACCGCAAACTTCAATCATCCGGAATTCGATACGAGCCCAACCAACGAAGAGGACAGTAACCCGGCACCGGCATGGATGTCGACCATGGCAACGAAGACACCTTCACCAGCAAGGCGACCAGGTGAAACCGGCGGACCACCCGTCAACCTTTGCGACTTTTTTTTCCCCCCAGGTACCATGCTCGAGAGAGGGCAGACACCGCGTCAGAACAAAGGAAAGCGGGCGCAGCAGAAAACGCATCAGATGCACCGGGGCCAAAAGAGCATCTGGCCTCATATCCTGACCACATCAATCGAAAAAGCTACCCAGAC